GCAGTAAGCTGATACAGGTCAGCGCTCGCCGTGCCATTAACCCTGTGCAGAATCAGCTCTACCAGACAGCTCAGCTCCAGCCGAAACCCTTAGTAGTAGTAGTAGTAGTAGTAGTAGCAGCAGCAGCAGCAGTCGCCGTCCTTGTCGCCGTCGCCATTTTGGTAATGATTGCAAAAAGCAGGGCAAGAGAGAGATAGACAGAGAGATTTTTTTTTTGCACACAGAAAAAACATGAAATAACAAGAAGGGACCGAATAGAGTAGCAGTAAAAGTAGTACGAGACGTGAGAAGTAAGAGTAGTAAGAGCTTGTCTGAGTAGTAATACTAGAAAGAGTAGAAAGAGTAGTAGAAGAAGCGAGACGTAACAGGACCAGGTGTAAGAATGGCAAAAATAGCAAGAGTAGTAAGACCTCAGCCAGAGCGATCCTCAGGTTTCTGGTTCCCGGCCTGCCAGCGGCTCATGGCTTCGTGCGCGAGGGACATCGCCGCTTGCTGCGGATCATCCAAATTCCTGCCAGACGAAGCTTTCTCCTAAATGGCTCCTACCGGTGGAGCAGAAATTGAATCCTGACACGGAAAAAAAGTGCAGAAAGCCACCTCGGCTCGGAACCAAGACCTGCACCCCTGCTCTGGCAGGCTCAACACAACTCACGGACCAAAGTCCTAATGACCCAATTGACTGCAGTGGTGTCGGACATTGTCGCCCACACACCTCCACTCCTCGGTGCCGGTAGTTTTCTGCAGGACCCAGGCTTCATCGCACGTGTACTGCACCCTTCCTTTCGGCTAGTGCGCTAAACGTGCTAACTTCACCTGCTCCGACGGGCCTGCCACGGGAGCTGCAACCCCGCTGGAGATAACTGCGCACTGTTCGTACTAAGCCCCACACCCGAGGAGCATGTAACTCCCTTCTGGAAGGTCCTACTACTCGAGGCGCCAAAAAATGTCAGGAAAGAGGCTCAGTATGCTTAAGAGAATTCTCTCCTTGCGCACCAGCTTGCAGATGCTGGGCTTATGTGTCACCCCGACCTTGACGGAGGATGCCAAGCAACTGATTGCATTGCAGCAGGACCCGGCAAAAGAGTTACTGTGAGTTGCTGCTCTCAAGGCTTAAACATCTCTCCAAAGCCTGCAGAAAAACTTGCATCGCTGTGGTGCCCTGCGGTGTGGCCCAGCCGATGGCCCAAACCACGGGTCACAGCCAAGCCTGAGTTCAGGGACAGGGTCCTTCGCCACCTTGAGACTCGACTACTTCCATGGTGAGCAGTGGCAGGGGGACAATGATGATGATGCCGTACCTAAGGTCTTACACTTATCGTCGCTGTTAGGACAGGATTGCCAGAGACCAGTCAGCTTGCGAATGACATCCATCTAGAGAGCCTCCGTGCACACATGTTTGTCTCGTTCCCCTTTTTGCTGTACAGAGCAAGGCTGTGGTTGTCTCGTTGGGTTGTGCCAGGTGCCCTGCTGGGATAGCTCGACTCGCCCACAAAGAGGCGGCACACCTTGTCGTGGACCTCTGCTCCCAAGGGCTGCACTACCGGAAGCTGAGCTCTCCCTGGAACAGCGCCCCAAACGCCAAACTTCAAACCCCCAGCTGCGAGCAAAGCCACGAGCTTCCTGATCTCGGCTCCGGCCTCCTGACAGGGCCGCGGGCCGCCGCGCGCCGCCGCGCTCCGCGGGCGGGCCGAGCGCTTCCCCGCCCTCAATGTCTCCTCTGAGACTCCTTGCTCCTTCTTCCAACCCCTGAACACCCGAGAGGCGGCCTTCGTCCTGTCAAACTCCTTCTTGACACAGAGCTTGTGATCCTTCGAGAGTCAACTTATACTCCTCATGCCCATGCTTGCCGGCTTACGGTCCTGCGGAGACTTGCAGGCAAAGTCAGGCCACACACAGAAAACCCAATGTCAGATTCCGCAGAGCTGAAGCAACCGACGAAGCTTCGGAGCCGTTCGAAGATATCCTCTGTCAAGCGTTGAGGGAGCATGTGGAACTCACGAGCGTTGCCGGCGGTGTCCGGCACCTGTTCGCTGCGAGCCGGAACACTAACACATCTGCATCGTCTGACGACCATTGGTGTCCGTTCTCTATTCCGAGGTCTGGACAGCGAGAACACAGCGGCAGTCACCAACGTGGGCTATCCAAACGTGCCTTGCAGTGAGTGCACTACCCTCACCCTTCCAACATGTCCTCAGCATAGCAAAACACAACTCGACGAATGCTGGGACAGAAACTCTGTATTCAGCAGAACGACTGTCACCGAGGCTCCTGGCAGCATGCAAAAGCTCAGCATGAAAGGGTTTGCTTTGCTCCGACAGATGTCCTGTGAGCGTCACGTCCAGTTGCATGGCGGCAGCGGTGTGAACCTTGAAGCGGTATCTGCCAGAAAGACCTGTCCGACTGTAGGCTCCGCCCCCAACCTTGGCGAAGGCCTCGGTCAAACCCTTCGCCTTGCGGCACGGCAATGAGGCACAAATAATTAGAACAGCATGTGAACCAGCACCCTTCTCGCTCGAGTGCCAGGTTTCTGACCACATCCGGAAAGCTGCTAACAATAGCAGGGTTCTGGAAGATGGCTTTGGGCCTGTGACCCAAAGACAGGCGACGCGGCTGTTGAAACGAATCCAACGCAATTGATACAGTATACTCTGGACGAGAAAGCCCGGGCGGCGCACATCTCTTGAGCCACGTACATCGTCAGGGCGCCAGACACCCTGAAGTTGCAGAGGGTACCATATTAGCAGCAGTGAAGTTCATGCTATGTCACGGCTTCTGATTCTCTGGTGCAAAGTGAGCCGGGGGACGCAGAAGTCCTAACACCAGCATGTCAATTGCCCTAATGGGACAATAGGACGGGAAAGTAGACAGATACGCGTGCTTGCAGTCTCTAGTCAGGAAAATGTCTTCCAAAGGCCCCGATGCCCGACGATGCGAATTTCCATAGCGTTTCCATGATGTTCCGGAATCCTTGAATTAAAGTTCCAACTCACTCTTTGTCTTGCTCCTGTCTTCGGGTTCCCGAGGGCCGTGCTTTGGGCTGCCCTGGCCATTCACGAGACCGATGAGACACCATTCGCCACAGCCTGAGCCGCACCCCATGAGGTCGGAGAGTCGACAACGCACCGTTGCCAAGCTCATCAGGCCCTGGCGAGACACAAAGCCACGCTCGGCGAGCAGGTCCGAAGCAGCGGCCTGCGAAGCAATCATCAACCAAACACTTCAGATAGCGCTATAGGCCGATAGGATCCGATAGGCTATGGCGCTATGTCCACGCTCGCCTTCTCGAGGACCACCATTTATTTCTTGTTGAGGCTGCATGTGCTTCATACTTCTCTTCGAAGTTCGAAGGAGACAACTCTTGTCGCAGGCCACGCGAGGAAGCATCCCGCCCTGCCTGCCCAACAGCGCCGGAGACCTGGACGCAGTTATCATGTAGACTTCAAAGCACTGACGGGGTCGAGGCTTCATCCTGCACGATGCGCAGTGACCGAGACCGCATGGGGCCTTCATGTTGTTCTTTGACATGAGGCCGGACAGCGCTTTAGTGAAGGTTGCCTCCGTGGCGCGCAGGTTTGTTCCCCGAAGCGACATGACGGTTCGCTTCGCACTAAAGTGGGAAGCAACAGATTGTGCACAAAGCGAATGAGCCTTCTTCCCTCGCTGCAGGGGCAGTGCCAGTCCGCACCTGCTCTCGACCGAGGCAATGCTGGGCATGGGGAGACAGAGCCGTTACAGAGAGTATCTTGGACACAGGGCTTCATTTTCATGGCTGCAGCGGTAGATCATACGATGTGGACAAGTTATTACGTGAAGTGCTTACGTTGGAATGCCTTCTTCGGAGTTGCATGACATCCGCGCACCGATGTGGCTGCAGCAGCGCACTCCAGTTTTGACTCCCCCGCCGAATCGTCGAGTAGCATCCCTGCGGAACTTGCAGCTACCACTCAAAGAGCGACTCCACCTGGCTGGGCACTGAGTTTCGGCTGAGGAATTCTGCACCTGCCACCCCCTGCCGGCCTGCGCTGCCTTTTGGAACTCCCGGTGCGAATCTGGCACAGCCGCCTCGGCACTCGGGAACTCCTCGGCCAGGGGACGCGGGCAATCGCCCGGGAAGGTCTCGTGAAGCCACCTGAGCCCGCTCTCCTCTCAACTCCTTTCGCCTTTTCCCTGCGAAGAGACCCTGAGGTCCTGCGGTCTGAGACTGGCACTGTGCAAACTGACGGCCGTGGACCATCACCTCCGGCAACATGGCTCGGGAGAGCCCTTTAAGGGACCCGAAAAAGTGACGGAGCCCAGTGGCTGATCCATCTTCTGTGAGGTCCTCGAGTGCCTTGAGGCGGGCAGCCGGGAGCGGCTTGCCTGGCGAGATCCCAAAAAGGCTGCTCGCACTGGCGTCGTTTTGGTGTCCCTGGCCTCGGATCTCAGCTGCCAGCGCTGTTATGGCCTCCAGGGCCTCGCGGCCCTCCGCGAGAGCAGCCTCGAACTGCGCCTTGTGGCCTGGCACCGCCATGCGAAAACAGGCACCTGTCCTGTCCATGCCTCGAGCCCCGAAATGCACCTTCACAGGTGTTCGGGCAGCACAAGTCATAGAAGCCTGAGTGCACGGCTGCCTTTAGTCCGGGAGGCCACACCCCAGGGATTTCCAACCAAGATACTCGTGGTCCCATCGCAGTTGGAAGGCGAAAGCCTAGCACAACAAATCTGTGGAGCCTCTCTTATGCCCTCCTGCCCGGAGCCTGTCTATGGCTACGGTTTTTTACTATAAATTCTGCGCGAAGGCACATGTAATTGGGTACCAGCACCATCGGGGAAGGACTCTGCTCGTCGAGGGCGCCGACCATACGCAGGTACTCCGTGGTCTCTCCTGGCTCGCTGCAAATCACCAACAGCCCACAACAGCCCACTGACCTCTGAGTCGCATAGAGTTAACACAAAGCGGCGGAAAAGGTCGCCCTTTCGCATGGCTGCCAGGCCCACCTCACAAAGGCAGTTGCGCAGCATTTCATGTGCCCGGGCAAGTGTCCATACACACTGAAAAGTCAAGTATGCCGAGAAGGCCTGACAAGATGCTTCCAAATCGAAAATATGGAATTCGAAAGGAATACGAGCTCTAAAGTCATATCCCCTGACCCTCTAGACTCACCAGCAAGCCTAGCACTTGCAAGATTTCACGACGACCTCGAGTCATCTTGGACATTCCAGGAAAGTCTTGACTTGATTTACGCAATGCCTTGCCGTCTGCACCGCCGGGCAGTGCGGCAAGAGACCGAGCCATGCTTGCACCTCGGGGAAACAAAGGAAAAGCAGAGAAAGTGTGATGGACACTTCGGTGCCCTTTTGCTGGAGTGCCTCATCATGCGCCAAGTCCAAGAAATTCCAAGAATGTCGTGCAGGCTACGCATTTGCAAATCATCTTTGGGCATTCTCGCCTCCTGATACCACCACTCTGCCCACATTGGTTTCACTCAGCCCTCGACCACTTATTACGACAAGACAACACAGCTTTGCACTGCCTTTGACCCACCCGCTCGATGGCCACTCGGCCCTGACACCCAACTCCAGCATGTTCAAGGGTCGCTAATGTCGCTATCGCTATGGGAATCGGTTTGGACTCCAGCCGAGGCACACATCGAACCCGAGACCTCCCGGAAGCTCTCGAGCACCTCCATCAGGCAGGGCAGCACTTCCAAGCCTCGCTGACAGCACGGGCCTTCTCGGAAGCAGCGGCTGCATCGTCGAAGGAAAGGTCGCTCCCTTGAAAGGTGCAGAAGAACAGGTTTGTGGCTTGCTTGCGCCTGAGGCTACAGAAGGACCTGCAAGATGCTTCCTGCCTGATGCGGACACTCGCTTCTGAATTTCACTGGCGATGGAGTCGCGGATTCTGCCCCAGCCTTCCTCAGCGACAAAGGCAAGACCCTTAGAGCGATAGCCGTAGGAGTCGCCGCACAGCCGCGTAGCTCTTGCCAAGCCTCGTAGACGCGATTCACGAAGGCAACCTCCTCGCGCCCCTTCTCCAGCGTTAGGGCATATCCGCTGTCAGCCTTCTGGCTGACGAACACGTAGTGGGCCATGAAGACCTCCTTAGACTCTTCGAAAGTTGAGTCTCTTCAGCTGCATATTTGTTGAACCCAGCAGCTGCGCTCAGATGGTTGCGGGCCTTTGGACTGTGTTCGCGGGTCTTTTTTGCCCAGATGCCAGCACGCTCTCCAGGCCTGCTGCATCTGTGACGTCCTGCCATGACATCCAGATCATCACGCCTCTGACACAACACCTGCCTCCATGTTCAGGTCATGGACGGACCAGCTCTGCTTGAGACGTTGTCCTTGCTGGTCACCGGCGAATCTCTCTGAGAGCACATGAAAATGGAAACGGGTCAGTGCAGATTAGAGTCGCTCGTCTCCATGAAGCAGATGCTCCAGCGTTGCTACGAAGACCGTCTCGGAAACAGATCCGTGCACTTTAGACTGCGGGCTACTGCAGGCAAGGCACCAAAGTCTTGAGATTCAAGCCAGAGCCCACCTTCAAGGCGCCGTGCTAGAGACTGGAGCTCTAGAGTGGGGGATCGCCTTCAACTACCCGTGCTCACCCCGACCCAAAGAAGCTCTGGGTCGCGACTGCCGCGCCTTCTGCTCCAAAACCTGGATGCCGAGCACGGGTTTAAGCGACTTGCGCTGCTGCAAAAGAAGGCTGCTACAACCGTCGCGCCAGGCAGCTTGCAGCAGATGTCCTGCCACCCGACTTCGCAGCGCTTCCTTGTCACGAACAGCTCTCTACACGGCATGCTGCCATACGCAACGTCAAAGAAAGCTCTGGCTCCTTGTGATCGGGAGGCTGGCGACCGTCTCCAGCTGGGTTCAACCCACGCACATACCTCTGGTAGGACCGTAGGTGCCCATGGACTTCCAAACCAAACCCCGCAAGGACAGTGATGTGTTGCGCGGAGTCTTAGGCGATGCGGAGCGTCCAAGGTGAAAATGTTGAGCCCTCCTCCCCATGTAAACTCACCGACACCAGGGGCTCGAGCCACGAGTGCTGGCGCAGGAAGTATTGGTGCAGCAGGTATCGGGCAGAAGAAAGGCCCAGTCCACCCTGAACCGAGGGTCAGGTCCAGTCTCAAGGCTGCAGAGTTGCTTGGGGCTTAAGACATCCACTTGTCCACATCTTCGTTGACTGGCTGCAAAGGGGTTCTTTGGCCCTCACTTGCCTCGATGTCGGCCAAAGGGTACTCGTGAGGAAGCGTGGCATAGAGCGGGCGCAGATCCTGAGACCGACCCCTCTACACACTCTGCACTGGCCTCTCACAGACCCCACTTGCAGGCTCCCGCGGATCCTCCTCGAGTTTCTGCAGCCGGGAGCCATCGAACGCCGAGTGGTTCCTGAGCTCCACCACAGCTCATTCCTTGCTGCTTGAAACGCTGAAGGCCAGCCACCCAGCCAGGCCAGACTCGATCTCCGCAACGAGAGCACGCTCCAGCCTCGCAAATGCTGTCAGATCTCACGCACAGAGACTCCTGCGGAGCACGGCTTGGCCAAGGCCTGGCACGGCTCTCCTCCTCGTCGCAATCCGCCACAGACTTGCGAAGCCTGCAAACCAAGCGTCGGTCTGGGGATTGCACTTACAACCCTGGACACCGACTGCGGTGCGCCCGCCAGCTTCAAGCAAAGCCCAAATCCAACTGAAAGCCACCTGGTCTTCACGAGCCGAGGCCGTGCCAGGGACGTCAAAGCGCAGACGCCCGGACTAAGCCCTGCATGGCAGCTGTCACAAGTGTTTGGCGTTCAGGCGGAGTTCAGGGCATTCAGGGCGTTTCGTGTTGTGCTTGGAACCGCTGTTCCTGCGGACCTTAAAGTGGTGTGCTGTGTCGCAGGCCAGACAGGGCCTGGAGATGCCTGCAGTCTCAGATCGGAGTGGCGAGAGGCCCCGGCCTTCGGCTGTGCAGGACTCGTCGTCGTCGCTGTAGCCTCTGAAAGCCCGACAGCGAAAGTGTTCAGGCTCCACGATGCACTATGCTCACTGAGTTCCGGAACGGGCACCATGGGCGAGCGAATCTGCGGAGATCCTGGCAAGTCAAGGCTTCAGCCCGAATGGGAAGCACCTCGTCACTTCTTGCTTCGGAGCTGCTCTCCGGAGTCGTCGAAGGTTATGGAGGTCTCCCCGGAGGTCTCTGTTGTCTTCGAGCCCCGGAGCCTGCGCCAGATGTGCGACTCAACGGAGCTTCCAGCCGAGGGCTCTGATGCAGCACATCACAGTGGCACCTCGACTGCATCAGCACAACCCCCTCGGCAGAAATTGCCGCGACGGCGTTCGGCTGGGAGCCGAGGGCTACGATGAACAGAAAGAAGCGCCTCGTTCCATGATTTTGCGAAACAGATGTGCTGGAGTCTTCCCTGCCTGACTTCTGGGAGCTGAGGCCAAGGCATTGCCATTGCTTCGCTAAGCAGATGTAGCGTAAATCACTCAAAGCTGAGCGGCTGCAGAAGAGAAGGTTTCAACTTCAGGATAAAAAGACTTCTGGGACGTATTTATGTAATCACTTTAAAATGCTTTGAGTGGAGGTCTTCTCCCCCCCAACAAAATGTTCGCAAAATATGGGCTGCGCATGCTGACGGCAGCCACTCCGGCAGTGCCAGCCACGCCATGCGGTCGAGTGTCAAAAAGCCGATTGCACCTGCAATGCAGGCCCTCCAGGAGCTCCTGTGGTAGGAGGGTGATCTCCCCTGGCCTCGGCTCCCAAACAGCTCCGCAGATGTTGTGTTTACCGGCAGCTACCGCCAGTCTTCCTACTCCCGCTGCCAGCCGAGTTGCTACTGCTGTAAAATGGAAGAACCCTATCTCTATCCGCATTCTTCACGTGCCTTGTCCTTGAGCGGTGTAGCAGTGCAACATTCTCTCTCTCGGCCTCGGGCTGGGCCATGAACTCCCGCAGGCCATGCCTGCGGCGTCAAGCGAAGGCAACAGCAACAGGAGGACCAGCAATGCCAAACACATACCCCGTACAAACTACAGGTATGTAATGCAAATGATGCCAACGATACCGACAAAGCTCGTGACACAACATGGTATGTACAAACGAATACATACACGGCTCATTGCGCATGTGTGTATACATTTTCATTCTCATTCCACAGGCTGAGAGACCGCGGGTTGCACCCATTGCATAACACAAGACAAGCGAAATCAAGTGAAACTAGCCCTGCGGGCTACTGAAGCCCTCCGTCGTAAGGCTGAATCCTACTGAAGCAAGCCAAGATGTGCGTATACGTACATGCATACATACATACATACATACATATATACATACATACATACATTTTTCATTTCATGTCCGTGCTGTCAGTGGTGTACGCAGCTTTATTAGGGTGCAGACAAACACGTCCGTATGAAACCGGCTGGCAGGCGCATCAGCGAAGCCGCAAAAGCCGTGACGGACGGGGTGAAATGAGTATGCGTAAGCAAGACAAGTCTTCAGCACGTACTATGCAAATGAACCTTTCAACTCGGTTGTGTGTACGGCTGGAGCAGTAAAGCAGCCTCGCTCAGCATAATGACTGTGCTGCCTTGCAGGCAGACGAAAAACAGAAACCCCTATACTCTAGCATCAGAGGACGCAGCCAGCTTCAGCCCACGCCCGTCAGACCAGCATGTTACAAGTTTGACACGAGCGCACAAGGACGTAACTTTCAATTCGTCCCCAACTGGCGCCCAAACCAGTAGGAAGCCCACTAACCGCCACGAGCCTAATCCTCTCCGGGGAACGGAGGCATACTGCGAAGCTACAGCCCGAACGGTACTTTCAATTGCACCGTGCTGGCGAAATAGCAGGACATGCACAAGGAACTAGTCACACACTTTGTTGCTCGCATTCCAAGAACTGTGCTGCTTCTGTTCCGGCGGAATGGCCGACAAGCTCGGCGCAAACCGTAGCACCTATCTTGACTCGGCACTCGGGATGATGCCTAACACCACGCGATGTCTCAAAAGCGATTAAGTTGCCGACGAGCATCTTTACGAACATCCGCATGCCCCCATGCAAGCTCGGCACCACTTCAAACATGCTGTCGTTTTTGCTGCGGCCTGTCAGAACGCAGCCTCGTCTCACGAATGGGCTTCCGTCCTTGTAAGATCCGTCGGAATTGCCGCAGCTGATTGATGCCACCCGTTCCAGCTTCACGGTGCTGGCCAACTTCTCTACAAACCTGTGAATACCGCCACGCACCACATGACTGAGAAGCTCGTGGTTCTCTCTGCCACGGACACAAGCTTCTCCCATAGCCGAAAGCCGAAAGGAGAGTGGCTGAACTTCCCAAACAAAGCCCGCAGCCAAGGGGTGCGCATGCCATGCGACATAGTCAAAATGGTGCTCATCATGACCCTCCTTCCTCCATTGCAGCACTTACCAGGCGTACCACGTTGGCAGTACTGGGGCTCTTCAACATTCCCCGCTGTTGGGGCGAGTTGGGCCCCACATACATACATACATACATACATACATACATACATACACACATACATACATACATACATACATACATATACATACACACACACCTCATATATGAGAGTGCCACAAGAGGACGCAAACACTGCTCGTGAGCTAGGTACGAGCAGCAAAAGGAAATGAAGTCAGCAGTGCCCTGTTCCAGGGGCAGCGCCGTTGGACCAACCGGTCGTCCTCGTCCGGGAAACCGTCCAGATCCTCAAAGCGTGCTTCAAAGTCAGAGTTCAGAGAGGTGGGGTTCAGGGTCTAATCTGTACCGCATGGTACGTTAGGAATGAAAGATATTTCGGGGGGGCCTGACTCGGAGAGTACACAAGTCGAGGCAGCTTTGGTTGGTTTTGATGGAACCGCTTTAGCGATCACAAACTTCACAAGTGCGCAAAGAAGCTGCAAATGTCTGGCTACACCTGTCCACTGAGGACGCTGCTGCCGCTCCGATCTTCTGGCAGATTCGGTATATCTCCCCAGTTTTGCCTCGCAGATCGAGCCGATTTCTGGAATTAAAGCATGGAGGAGTGGCGATTCTTACAAAACCCATAGAGCAACTAAGAAAACCAAGCCTGCAGCCGATCGAAACAGAAAAGACCGTGCGGAAAGTCTTAAAGAGGAGCAGAGGCTTGAAAGGGACTCTACTAGACGAGCAAAGCACGAGGAGCAAAGCCGCCTGAAAAGTACTAACGCCATTGCAATGCAGTAGCGAACATCGCGAAAAGGATGTAAAAACTCGATCAGAGAAGAGCAATCTGGTCCAACCCGACCAAAAAATTGTGCCACTCTTACAAGAAAACTGGCCCTCCCTCCCCCTGGAAGGCGATTCTAATTTCATTCTCTCGTCTGCGGCTGCGATCTTCACATCTTCCTTGCAGCAGCAGGTGTGAGTGCCTCCCCGGGAACCAGCCCTCGTAACCCACTCGTACAACGATGGCAGGTTTTCCTTTACTTAGGGTTTCAAATTTGTGGGTCGGTGTCAATATCGGGTGTTTCTTTCGCTGAGCGCTCGCAAGTACGCAAGGACCCCCTTCCGGAACCGAGCGGGTGACTCCGAAAATCCTAAACCGGCAAAGACTGACGACGATTTCCCAAAGATCCAAAACTAGAGGGATAGATGATGAGTGGCTACAGCCCGAAACCATCAAACGGTAAACCCTAAAAAGGTCGCTCGGGAAAACCAGAAAGCCCCAAACCTGGAAGGAGTAACACTTCCCAAGACGCAACAAAACCCGAAGAGAAGCGCGCGGTTTCGGAAAATCCAAACACCCCAAGAGGTCCGATCCACATTTCCGGGACCAGAGGCCTTACAAGGAGGTGATGGATGGCAGAACCCCTAGAATCTAAAGGGATATTGGCTATGTACATAAGCATATCATATATATATATATCATATTATACATCATGTATACATATATGATCATATCTGTACATGTGCTCATTTTAACCATCCATTTTGGCATAATCATCCATTTTGGTACAAGGCTCAAAAACTTACACTGCCTAGGCCTTTCCAAGACGCTAAACCCGAAAAGTGTGACGGTTTAGCGCAAACGGGGATAGGTGGCAAGGACCCAGGAGTGACTTCTTCCCAAGAACCCAACCCGTAGAAATGGTCGAAAAATCTAACACTCTGAACCCGAAGAGGGACCAGAAACCCCACTGGCGGATGATGGAAAGCAGTATCCTCAACCCTAAAAGGCAAAGACAGGTGCCAAGAAGTGGTGGTAGCAGTGGGGATAGGAGGAGTGCCTGTAGCAGTAGCACTGGCAGAAGCAGCAGCATTTGGAAGGAGAGTGAACAAGAGTCTTCACGCGCCACGGCTTCACTGTGCACAGGCCTTTCATGGCGGCCGTGTTCATGGCAACCCGGGTGGTGTACCTTCGACGAAGCTCGGGCCGTACCACTCATGCTAAGAACAACACCACCAGCAGTGAGGGGTGCGAAGGTTCCATCTCGTAACGTCCTGGTGCAGATTCGAGAAAATCTCAGCTCTACACTCTCCGACAACCATGGCTCGGATTGCAGATTGCAGGCTCAGACGGTCCTAGACACTCGTAGCTTGCGTGGGCCGCTTCTGCCATGATGGCTTCCAGCACATCCTGAGCCAACTCCACGGCTTGGCGGATTTGGAGGTCCCAAAATCCATAGAGGAGTCCTCCTTCTGCGTAACACTGGTGTATTCACCTGCAAAGGCTCAAGCACAGAGGAGGCCGTCCCATAATCGCAGATAAATGCCGGTTGCATGGGGTCAGAAAACTTGCACGTCCAGCCTGTAACTTTCTTCAAGATTTTTTGGATTTCCGTCAAATCTCGGTGCACGAGGGCAGGATTTCTGCTGGCAAGTGAGAAGCACGACCCCGGGTGTCTTGCGAGATTCATCGGCGGTCGGACCTCGGGCCGCAGTTCCGTTAGTTTCTGTGACCCTTTCCCTTTCGCAGATCCCTGAAAGAGGTGAAGCCGAAGCCTGAGCCTTAGCATCAAACCGATGGCCAGTCGGGCCAATTTCCACTTCGAAGTCGTCGAAGGTCGTGTCTCGGGATGTCAGCCGCTGGGAACACCATATACCGTCTGTGTGCAACTGTCCGAGTAGGAAGCTATGTGCTTCGTGTTCTGGCGTGCCCCAGACCTGCAGGGAAGAAATCTGCAGGACCGCTGTGCAGAAACTCTTCGAACTTCAGACTTCTGACACGTCCACTCTGGCCTGCTCTCCATGCTTTGCAGCACACTATCTCAGCACGCGAAGCGACAAACTACACTGACGTCGAACGCCAACACGCTTGCAGACCCGCCGGGGCCCGTACCCATATGCTTCCGCTGGGGAGACGCGGGTGATGCAGGAATGTCCTTTCAGCAAAGAGTTTATTGGGAGTCGCTGATTGCCTCGAAGCCAAGGGAGGGATTCCTTCGGAGTTCGTGGAGTTCTCCGAGAGGCCTTCCTGAGCAAGTGGTATACTTTCCGACGCCTTTGCGCGTCGCTGCTATGTGAGCAGCCCGCCTCACACTCTGGCTCTCAGCCTCTGGGTGCTCTCCCAGAGCATCCTGCAGTACCACAGGGCACGACCGGACCCTTTGTTCAAGGACACACGAGTGTCTGTTTCATGCCCCCCGTTCAGATCTCATTGCTGCCAAACGGCAGAATCCAGAGTCATTCTGTCCCGCGTAGCCGTCCGCCTGGGATCCAAGCTCAGCTCTACACAATGGCAATGCCTCGACACCTCGATTCTTAAGCCAAGGGCGGCGACGGCGAAGCAACACTCGTCCTCGGCATGTCAAACATTCGAAGTACTTTTCGCAGTGCTACATGGTCTTGCAGGCCTCGTCACAGACACCACAGTCAAGTAACTGGATCAGAATGCTTGCCAAAACCGGACAAAGATAAAAAAAGTTGCAGCTGCGTGTCGAGGCCATGCTCGGAAGCCCCCGAATGGGCAAGTTGCTGGGCACCTGTGGGGAGCTTCTCGGCTCAGGTTACAAGATGTTACAAGGTCCATGGAGGTGTCAAATTCGCCTTCGCCCGACTGGCCCGAGCTGCGAGTCACCGCTCGGCGCGAGGAGAATGTTTTTCACCACTGCCTATATTGCCCAGCGGGCCCAGGGCCTAGAGAAAACCAGCTCAGGGCAGGATCCTTTTGCTACCACTGAAACACAGTTGTTGGGTTTCGTGGCTTCTGCATGTCTCTGATCTGCTGTGCGCGCACTGCTGTTGAGTCAGCTCTCGCGTCACTGCCCGTCACTACAAGAAAGACGATCTGCCGGCTGAACTTGAAAGACGGTCGCACAGCGCTCCCAGTTCGGACAGCTCGTCGCTGATCATCTGTCGAGCGCTTCAAGTAGAAGACCTGTCATCGCACATCATCGCACGACTTCGATGGATTTGGTTGCAAGCTGATGCAACGACCACTGTTGCAAACACCATTCTGTTGAGCAGATTCCTGCGCCACGTAAACAAACCCTCCCCGCCCTCAACGAGGCGATCGATCCAAGCCTCGGCAAACACGTACTGTCCCTATTCGAGCAGTGGTAGTCTAGCACAATCTACGTACAAGGACTGCAGGGGAGCTGTCTAGATCTTGCCCCGACACAACTCGGGCAGGCGCTCGCAACTCGCGAGAATTGGCCCAAATGACTGTTATCCACAAACCAACTCAGACCTTGAGGCTCTGCAAAGGGAAGACCACGCTCCGAGGGCGGGGCTGAGGCATCCTTGGAAGGGCCACACATTCAAATGAGGAGGCTCGTGACTGTATCACACGGCACTGTACACGGAGCATCCAAATGGTGTGCCGATCCGCTGTGCAGCGCCCAGCAGTCCGTTGAGAGTTTCCTCTGTGTCATCCTGCGAGACACAGAGACATCTACAGTGCTTCCAGGACTGGCGGCTTAATCCACAACAAGATAAGACGGCTCCAAGCAGAACCCCATGTAATGGGACCCATGCCCCATACAAGACCATGTAGAGCAAGCAGACACGCGCAAACACACCCCAGCACCAGCGTCTGCCGAGTGCCTCCAGAGTCCAAAGCGGATAGCCGCTGGTGAAGCACTGTTGAGCAACATGGTTGCCCTGCCAGCACATGGGTATTGCGAGTTGCAGCGTGGCGATAGAAGACAAGTACGCAGGAGACTGACTGTTCAACGACTGGTACTGCAGAGACATCGTGGACCAGGCCTCGATCGTTCGATTTTCCATTTCCTGCAAGCTCACCATTTGTTGGTTCGCTCTCGTGCAGCTACCGTCTTTCTCGTCTCTGAAACCTGATGTAACAGGCTTGAGCAAGGCCACCTTCTTGCCATTGAAATGGGTGTTGAGCAGCTCGCTGACAAACCTCTCTCCAAAGAAGAGACACTTGCAGCCGTTGGTTGCGTTACCCCGGTCAGTCAAAAACAGATGCCATGCCGTCGCAGTCGGTCACGATGCAACATGCATGATTCGGTGCTAAAGTCGAGGTTAGCCCTCCTGCAAACAATGAGAGGAGGATGGGTCATGGGTCCCTCCCGCTTGGGCAGCGGCGCATGTGGAAAGGCCCATGTGTAACCGAAAGTTTCTCGCATGGTATCTGCGATGACGAGGCCTGTCCTTGCAGACAAATCCGATCAGACCGTCAAACTCAACTGCCCGTGGGTTTGCAACGACATGACAGGTAGAACCGATGTTCATGTCGATCACCCAAGAAGAGCGGCACTCCAGGCTTCTGGCATGGCATCCCCATTGCTGATGTGCTCCAGGGCCTTTCGGCAAACCACGAACAGCTTCACTAGAAGACTGTTGTCGTGGGGCTTGCGACGTCGACTCTGCAACGGCGCATGTCTCAGGCCAACACCAGGTTCTTGTAGACATCGGGGAAAGCCCCCACCTCAGCTTCAGGTCGGTGCTTTCGGGGGCTTGCGGCTTTGCTGCTGCTGGAAAGCCCCCCACCTCCAGCAGCAGCCACTTGTCGAGCGCGTTCCTGTCCTCGCCCTTGAAACGCACGTCGTACCTTCCAAGCTGGGATAGCTGGGAACGTGCGCGAAGCACATGATGACCATGGAATCCCCACGGCGAACACATCTCTTGTGATCTCGATGATGGGCAAGTCCTGGTCAAGAACGTCCGAAACCCTTTTGAAGCGCCGTCTGCTTCACGCGTCTCCTGCTTCTCGTTGCGGAAGGTCGCCTCCTCAGCTTGCTTTACGATGAACCTCGCAGCATCAGCACCCGATTGACCCGGTGCCCCGTGAGCAAACATTTTGACATTGAAATGCATTGAGTTTATGTCGGAAGGACCTGCCGATGTCGAGAGCAATCAGCTTAACCTTATGTGCCACAATTCACAAAACCCACTTGTTTTCAGCTGTCCGTCGAGCTCAGCTTGGGACGACTTTAGTCTTGCGTGGCTGCTGCGTCACCACCTGATGCCATCCAAACTGCAAGAAATACCGGATGCCAGGGCGGCAGGCCACCTGCCACTCGTCAGGCCGCAGTTGCTTGCCATTCGGGGTGCGGATCAGCAGTCCGAGAACCTGTCCCGGCTCACCACCGTAATACCAAGCATACCACTCTGCACGTGCCCTTGTCACTGCAGCATCCGGCTTGCCTCCAGGTCATCGTCAAAGTCCCCTTTCGTTGCCTCAGCTGCATTTGTGGGCAAGAGGCAGACTCCAATGGCAATACGACAAACACGGCTGAAGCTTTTAGCATCCGGTCGTTGCGCCCAACGCCCCGCCCCTTCTGCAGCCCCAGGCCGTGCCACAAAACAACTCGGCGGCCCGCGATGGGCAACAGGAAAGGATGAAGATCACCACCGATCTGGCGGGTGCAATTTGTCTAAAAGCCGTTCTTGAAAAAAGCCTTTAGCAACTCAGGTCTTGCTGCAGGCATCTTGTATGTGGCAGCGCATCAGACAAGAGAAAGGACTACAACATTTACTTTCCAACAACATCCATGAACAACGCACAGAGGCGAGATGTAGGGCATTATGGCTCCGCCTCCCGCCAGTCATTTTCTTCACCAAGGATCGTGTAGCCACTCGCCTGTTCATAAGTAGGGTGGGAGAATGCAAAGGCAGACCGGCAAACAATCTGGGCACCTGCAAAACTTGGAGAAATGTCTCCAGCTTCTGAGGAGGCTTGACCTGAGACTGTCCGCTTCGAGGACTCGCTGGCTAACCCCGCTTAGCTTTCTTGTGTGCCAAGCTGCTTCTAGCACATCTTTCAGAAGTGATTGCAAAGCCTTCACCTGCAGTTGGCATCAATGATGCTGGTGTCCGCAAGTGAAACACAACCTGCGAGTGGCACGGAGAAGGAGGAAAGGCAGGATTCAACACGACAAAGAAGACAGGCAGACCGCTGAATGGTCGTAGGTACTTCGTAGTATTTCGTGGTAGTATGTCGTGGTTGTGCGTGGTCGTGCAACGTAGCAGTACTTGGTAGCAAAGGGTACCACTTGGAGTACGATGTACATCGTAGCTCGCAGTAACGTACCACGTGGCAGTACATGGAAGTAGCGGTAGTAATTGGTAATACATCACAGTTTGCGGTGTTTTGTCAGTACATCAGATTACATGGTAGTCGGTGGTGCTATAGCGCGTCCTAATACCACAGCAGGTGATAGCATGTGTAGTACTCAGTAGCATGGCGGTACATGGTATAACCGTCAGTACGTGCTAATACCTGGTTGGTTGTACATGGTTGTACAGGGTAGTACTTGGTAGCACGTGGTACAGGATAGTACGTGCTACTATGTGGTAGCACTTGGGTGCTTGTTGAAATATAGACGAGAGCACAAGCGAAGACGAGAAGAAAGGCACAACTGAAACAGGTAAGATGCGCGATTGGAATGAGAAATTGAAATCGCAAAAATCCGCGAACCCTCGAGTCTCGTGAGACAAGAACCTGTGTGTTTTTCGGCCCGTCTCTGTGAAGGCAAACCATTATCCGACTACGGCAGACCGACCGACCGACCGACAGACAGACCAACAGACCGCTGACAGACAGACAGGACAGACAGACAGACAAACAGACAGACGGACAGACCACGAAAGATCAACGGACAGGAGCTAAGCAGAAACGCACAGTGGTAGATGCATAGCTGGATGGGTAAGAGAGACAGACTGGAAGATCGAACATGTGCACAAGGATATCTTCTTGCAGCAATCACCCCGGCCTTGCCCGGAGAGACCTGCCGCGTCCATTTTGACTCGGACATGCACAATGGTCAACCGGGGTAAAATTGAACAAGAATGAAGGACTTCTCTTAACTTCAATGGCCACGAAGCCGACGGAGCCTCGAGAGCCGTCTCCACCTCCACAGCTGCCGCCTTCACAGAGGGAGCAGTCTCGCCACCGGCTGCTATTGGACAAAGACACGGGGAAAAGCAGCCATCGCATCACCAAGCTCGCCTGCGGAGTGCAACCTGAGCTTCCATGAAGGTGTAAAAAGTAACCAATGGCTGGGCTGAAGTTGGCAAGATTTCAGCTCTTTCCGCCATCTCCAAGGCTGTCGCGGGTGCGCTGCACTCGGCTCCCGCTTTTTGCCCGGCACCAGCCGCGGCACGCCAAAACCTTACGTCCAGAGAAACTCCACAAGTCCGTCAAACCGAGCCCTGGCGGGGCCCCGGCCGGTAGCGCGAACACCGGGGCAGGGAGCCACGAATGGCCTGCACGAAAACACGAAAACATCTTGTTGCAGGTTCCATCTTCCTCGCACCGGGCTCCGCATCTTCTTGTCTTGCCATGAATGCTCGTTCTGTTTCAGGCTGTTTTGCAGTACTGCGCAAATAGGAAAGGCACAAGGTTTGCCACAAGGCCTGCCGAGGTTGTTGCCCTCATCCTCGCTGCTCCGCTTGGCACCGATGGCATGGAAGGCGCAGAAGGGGCCTCGGATGCAGATCACACAGACTGGGAGCACATCAACGGATTTGCAGGAGGCAGATTCTTTCAAAAGGTTTGCCCACGTGTGGATTCCGATCTTGGCAACTGCACATACCCATGAGCTGCATCCGAAGATACTGCCGGTGCAGCGGCCATCAACTCCATGCCCTGGGCGAGAAAGATCCAACGAAGGAGGAAGTTGAACTAGCCGTTCTGCATACAGCTGTTTCTTACGAGCACTTCAATCTCCACAACAGTCAAATGAACTTTGCACAGTTTGACTGCTTGCTTTTGTCTCTTGCGGCAATCCACTGCATGGCACTGCCCACCTCCATCGGCTTGGCGCCAGTGTGGACTAATCTTGTTGTGAAGAAGCTGCTATCAAAGAGCTCAACGTTTAGGCATAAAGCAATGGCATTAATATGCCGAACGTAGATACTGATTGCTGCATGCCCCGACCATGACAGCTACAACCCCGTAAACTGTCACTTTCAACTATCGCAGCAGAGCCAGTACGACTGCGAGTCGAGGCAAATTTCAGTGGGAAGAGATTCCATTGGGCGCGCGTGTTTTGGTGTGAAACCACTTCGTGGAGAAAGACATGATGGCAAACACAGAGGCAACTGAAAAGCGGAAATCCGCCGGACCATTACAAGTTACCACTCGACCAGGATGGTGGCAAAGCCGACAGAATGTAGAAGCCGACGTGCCTGTCCAGTGCAAACGAAACTTTAAGGTTTCCGATGTTTTTCAAGTGGTGAGCATACGGTGGGAGATAGTAATGGTTCTCGTTGTAGAGTGTTCAAGATGCCACCCCACAGACTGGTTCCAGGACAATTTGTTGCAGGTAAGAAATGCTGTACACCGAATCATCGTCATGATAATCACCATCATCATCATCATGCATCGTTGTCATCATCCTTTTCGACAATGTCATAGTCACCAGAATCAACATTGTCAAGATTGGCCATCATCATGCTCATCTCTGCAAATTGCGCGCTAAAAACGGAGCGCAGGGCATTAGGCAGAATGCGTGCCAACAAAAATTAATGACGGATGCAAAATGTTGTCGCATCCGACACCAATATAGCACATTTGCCGATGGAAGATAACGAGCGAACATCTCGAAGTTTCAGCTTTGACGTTTTTTCGGCAGTCGGTCTTGCAAGGTCACGAATCTGCCCGCAACCAACAATGACTGCCCAACCTAGCACTAAACAAGCAAAAACAAAAAAGATGAAGGCACCAACCCACGCACCCAAACATCCATGTGAGGCGGGAATGCGGTCGTCACGTTTCACTGCTGCGGACATGGATTCTCAACAAAAGGCAGGTACCAGTTGTACTCATTTTCGCGTTACCCGGACTCTTCCAAGCCACTTGCTGTTCGTTTCTTCGAACGCGTCAGGCTCTCGGAAACGTCATTCTCTGGGAAACGAGCCCATCAGCACCGACCTATCCTTAATCCTTCCTGGTGGCTTAAATTATCGTCCCTTGCCTTTGGACTACCTGAGACCAGTACTGCCGATTCTTGACTTGAGATGTACCTGTCTGAAAAGAATAGTATGGTCGAAGATGCAGAGGCCGTCCGTGTGCTGCTTTGGTACGATGTGGGTCAGTCCATCAGCGCAAAAAAAGCAATGGGAGCATTGCTAAGACCAAGTCAAGTAGCATCACGATACTTTACGGGTCAATGCATAAAACATGTACAGGTAGTCCCGTTGAAATTGGGCGCAGTATATCCTCACCTCTGTCCTTTCGCGTGTGATTTCGACGATCGAAGTGAGATCTCTTGTATAACCCATCTGCGCTGCACCTCGCATGAGGCTTTGACGCAACTGATTCGCTCTGGACTTGCTGAACATGTGGATGCCATCTGGATCAGCAGAGTCATTGAGCCCTTTGGTGTACTCGAAAGCTTTTTCAACAGTCACGTCTGTTCTCGCATTTGAGGGTATTGAAGATCGAGCCAACGCACATTTCCCTTCCAATTCCTGCACATAAAGCTGACAACGATGAATGCAATGTTAAGATATGTATAGGATGCAGCGGTCAATGTGGAATCGACACTGTTGCAATCTCTGACGAGAGGGCTAGGGCACCTGCGTGTGCATCCTTGCATGAGCGTTCTCTTATGCTTGCACTCTCTACCACTCGAACAAAACGCAACATCCATTTTGACCGTGTGCTTCTGAGTTGAGGCTAGCCGGGGCTAGACCGAGGCGCTGAAGGAAAAAAGGCTTCGAAGGGACGAAGGCTTCAAAGGCGAGAATGAAGGGTGGGAGGCTTCCAAAGCTCGAAAGTGACTTCTTGGAAGACTTCGAAGGTGAAGATGAAAGAAGAACTTGAAGGCTTCGAAGGTTTTGAAGTCTTTTGCTCACCCCCCAGCAGTCGTACGAGCTAGGTGTAGGCCACTACCGAATGGCTGGGCTTAGTAATAGCTCCAACAAGAAAAGAGCACCAAAGACCATGACCGCAAAGACACAAATTCTGGAAGAAAAGCACTCGCCAACCTAACTAGAAGCAGCCAAAGGGCATCTTGCAAAACAGGCTCCAAATCTGCAGAGAAGCTTCTCCAAAATTCCCGACGTTCGTTGAGAAACAGCTTCTCATCGTTGCCAGCTCCGTGGCAGGTTCAATGCCACTGATGGTGTCGAAGCTCATAAACTTGAAGTGCTTATCTACCGCCGCCAGCGAGCGCCTTGAACACGCCAAGCCGTTGCTGTCTCGCGTCGCGCTGCAGCTGCGCTTGAGCTAAATAGCGTCCCTCTCGTTCGATGCTCACAAGAGGAACTGGAGGAAGCTTTGTGGAGAAAAGCAATCTCAATTTTTCCAAGAAAATCGTTTGAGCACTGTGAAGGGTTTGTTTCTTCCAATTTGAGCATCGTTCTCCACAACTTCGCACAAGTCTCTGGGCTGCCGAACGCGACGGTCTACGATAAAACTGTGCCTGCTGGTTTCAAAGAATCAACGCGCTGAGAAAACAGCAGTGCACAACGCCGCGGCCACGGCCGGCGACTAGCTAGACGTGGGGGCCAAGCACCACATTGGAGCCATTCCAATTCTGGAGCTTCGAAGCTGTGAAGCCTTCGTGAGCACCAAGCCGTATGTGTTTTTCGACCTTGCGTGTTCTGCAAGAAATCGACCAAGTCCGCCTGGATCTGATAAAAGCTTTCTCACGTCCCGCACATTGCAGTTCCGAGCCAGCTCTGGAGCAGCCAAGGCCTTGCCTGCTCAGCCACGAGCAGCCACGAGCAGTCC